TTTTTATGTCTCATTGTACCCCATTTAGCCCTGTACATATACTAAAATTTATAACTCTTTGAAAAGCTCAATAAAGGACATTGAAATTTAATTAACTGTATAACTTAATTTTTCACCAATATAAGTACTTTAATAATAGAAAATGTGCATAAACATTCATTCAGTTATTATTGTAGATGAGTTGAAATGCATTGCAATTAAATAATGATAAATCCTTTTTTTTCATGGATGATTCATTTTCACCAAAATAGGAGAGCTATGTCTTTCCGATAATGTTTGTAATTCCATATTGCTTTTTTACCTAGTTTTCTTTTATTTAATTTAATATTTCATGTTATACAATTCAAATACTTATAAATGATTTGTGCCCAGCTTCAAAATGATGAAAAATCATTTCTTTAGATTTTAAAGGGATATTTGCTTTTAATAAAATATTGAAGCCAATTTAATCCTACCCTGTTTTATTTTATCAAAACAACATAAATTAATACACATAATTAGTAATTCATAAATAAAATATATAAACAAACTGTATAATTTATATCATTATCCTATAAATTAAATTACACTGAATTAAAATTATTAGCAAATCACACTGAAACCTAATAGTAATTTGTATTGGTATTAGTAATGGTGGTGAAAAAAAGTCCAGCAAGTAGGCCTGTTGGCCCTTTTTTGCTTCCACAAAAATCAATAATTTAATTGATCAATAATAATTTACACTACTCTGTATTGAATCTTTCAGTCTTTCTAATGAAAGTCAGAAGAGATGACCATTCAACAGAGAAAGCCTTTTAATCTTTGATTCTAGCTGGACCCAATAAGCTGTATCTAATGGATGCAAATCAGTCTCAGTATGCTATACAGTGTAGAGTGGCTTTTGGTGCTTGACCCCAAAGCTGGCACATTTCATCAGCTACCACTCCATAAACCTTCAAATGTCTTTGAATGTCAACTCAATAGTATAAATGATGAGACGATTTACTAAACTTCCCACAGTATAAAATTCATATATCAAATTTTTCCATTAAACAAATAGAGAAGGTCAAGTGGATAAGGGTGATGTGAGGTTAGTGTGAGGGTTTGTTTGAAGGGTGATAGATGGAAGGTGTGCCATTGTGGACGAGGCTTACGAAAATAGATTCATAGAAAAACATGAAACAAAAATTAATTGAAAAAATCAATAAAGATAATCATTTTTTTTTCAAATAATGATTATCATGTTTTTTTTCAAATCACAACAATGATAAAAATGAACCAAACCCTCTAAAAATTAAATATTAGTACTCCATTGCTATGACATGCTAACTTCAAATTCATTAAAATAAAGAAGACAAGCAAGGCAACAATGTGTATATATATATATATATATATATATATATATATATATACATTGTTTTAACTAATACAAATTGCTTTAACTAATACAAATTGCTTTAACTAATACAAATTGCTTTAAATAATACAAATTGTTTTAACTAATACAAAGTTACTTAAATAATTATGTATCTAATATGAAATCTTTGAAGTTACAGGAGTCCATATCAGCTTAAACCTAAGGGTAGGTGATAGTTTGAACAGAAATGGATTAGATGTATAGAACTAACAATAGTATTAAATTAATATTTTCTTGTCTAAAGCAGCTTTAGTTATAAAATATATTGAGTTGATCCATTTTACCATTCAATCAAATAATTGTGAAGTATTTTCTTTTATGATCAAAAAGTGAACTAAAAGAAATATTAAATGAAACAAAGGATAAACGAAAATTGACAAATATAACACCAAATTCATATGTTCAGCAATCATTATTTATAGTAGTAGAAATCAACTACAAACTATATAAAATAAAACTATTACCATTTGTATTCCAATCATACATAAATGCAAAACATAGAAGAGAATTTGGTTGGGATGTTCAGTCAAAATACGAAGTAAAAATAAATAAATAATATTTATTTTTGCCGACATTTTGGCCCAAATTTCAGGCCTTCATCAGGGCTGACCTCACAAAAGAAATGTAAAACATTTAAAAAAATTCACAGGGCAGTTTATTAACGTTTTGATGAAGAAAAAGTAACATACAACATGATTGGCTTGTGTCCTTAATTGTATTGCTGGTATTATTATTATCTAGCCAGCTTGGCTAAGTATTCTTTCCACAAAAATTGACGAGGGAACCCCTAAAAACTTCCTAACGTAAGCATGATGTGGAGAAAATAAAAAAATTTAACCTACAACCTGCAATTATATAAAATTGATGAGTGCTTTTAATTTATCCATTCATAAAAGATAAGTGATTAAGATGAAGAAAAGTTTCTATTTTTGTTTTTATTTATTTATTTTTTTAATGGAGACATCACTCAATAGTCAAAAACTATCAATTAATTAAATATTAGTAGTACACTCCTAGAAAGTGAAAAGTAAAAAAAAAACATATCCAAAAAGTATACATATAAAAATTTTAATTTGGTTTATTGCTAAATAAACCAGTTCCTACCTCATTTTTTCTGAGTTGAAATTAATCCTCATGTGAAAAAATATATTCAATGGTTTAGATAAAACAAGTGCTTTAATAATAATAATAATAAGCCAAAATATAACGAAAGGTGATGAGTACAACTGCAATAGAAGATATTAAAGCGATTTATTTAAGGTTTTATATTAATAATTTATAAAATAGAAAGAATAATTAGGTAATAATGAAACAGATTTCAAAAGTACTGTAGATACTGAAAATATATATACATAAAATTTGTTCCCAGAGGATTCAGCTACTTTTTAAAAATATAACAGCAAGAATTCGATTATATGAACAAGGGGTAAGAAAAACAACAGATCAACCTTCAAAACCTATTTTAGAGATAACCAGTATATTATAGTGTAGTAAAAGAAATTAGTTGGAGACGATGATTCTTTTAAGAGCAAAGGTTGGCAGTTTGGCTTAAATAATTTAAAATCATGAAATGTAATCCATTAATTTGATATCATAAGAGAATTGATAAGACAAACAAGATAATTATGATTTTATTTGTTGGGTTATATTAATAAAGATTACTAAAAATAATTAATTTTGAAATTAAAATCTTTCAGCAACTAGGGCTTCTAGAGCAGTGCTGGCCTTAAGGCAAGGGAACACAGAAGCACCTGCTACTCTTTGGGAAAATAAAAAATTACAAAGCATAAGAGATAAATTGATTAATTCTATTAACAAACTATTGACACCTAAATTAGAGAGATATTGAATGAAATATAATTAAAATATTACAATACATAAAACAGCTTAAAAAATAAATTAATTTTTTGGGGGAGATAACATCATTGCCCAGAGCACCATATGCCTAAGGGCAGCACTGTTTCTGAGTGTGAGAAGAAAGAAACCCCAGGCAGTAAATTAAACAAATACATTTCTATGTTTTGTTATTTTGAGTAAAAATAGCAGTATAAGAAACATGAATTATATTTTTATTATTTTAGTTTGTTTTTATCTACCTTTGTATATTTGATTATACTTTTTCCATAATATAGACTATCTTTGAACCCAATAAGTTCATATAATCAATAAACTAGACTTGAACATAAAAAGTTGAGTATGTTTAGTTGTTAAATCTATTGTAAAAATCCTGATATTCATATCTAAGGTAATGCCGTGCTGTACTATATTAAACGTAATATTAAGAAAGGAATTAAATATTAAGTAGAGGGCCTAGAGAAAGCTCCATTATAAATCATTTTATGAAGAAGATGCCACTACAAGATAACTTATAATGAGCAAGGAATGATACTTTAATATGATTTAATATTATATCGATTCAGTTTTAAAATTTCTAGAATACTTAATTAAACAGTGAACACCAAATTCTAAAAGTAATGGAGGTTATATCCATAATATATAATAATAATATAATATTTATGAGTATATATATGTATATATATATATATATATATATATATACATATATATATATATATACATATATACATATATATATATATATATATATATATATATATATATATATATATATATATATATATATATATATATATATATATATAATTTCTTATTTTATTTAAAAATATGGAACTAAAGAAATTATTAACCTTATATCATTATTAAAGTTACTATCAAAAAGCTAACTAAATTATGAAGTGCTATGAATTTTTAAGTAAAAGAAAAATTGAAAAATTAACATCATTGAGCGATATATTAGTTATTTTTCATAGAAGTAGTGCAGATAAAGATTTTTCGACTGTATGTATGTCTGAGTGACTGAGTGAGATTTATATATATATATATATATATATATATATATATATATATATATATATATATATATATATATATATATATATATATATTCACGCAGACAGATATTGATGCATACAGTCCAAAAATCTTTATCTGCACTACTTCTATGAAAAATAACTAATATATCGCTCAATGATGTTAATTTTTCAATTTTACTTTTACTTAAAATTTCATAACACTTCATAATTTAGTTTGCTTTTTTAATAATAACTTTAATAATGATATAAGGTTAATAATTTCTTCAGTTCCATATCTTTAAATAAAATAAAAACAAGCAGTTTATGGAATTTTATTTTACTTTTATATCTATGTGTGTGTATATATATATATATATATATATATATATATATATATATATATATTTATGTTTGTGTGTGTGTGTATACACACACATAATCATTTAAAAAAATTATCATATAAAGTTTAACCAAGTTGAAAAATAAACCATTTAACAATCCAGAAGGTTTTTACAAATTAAAATAATTTTAAACTTTTAAAAACATTTCTTAATTAAATATAATTTAAATAGACAAAACATACAACAAGACATAATTAAGGTAATTTGTCAACAAGTAGTAACAACAAATAAAGTGATATATCAAACATAATAAAAAAATAAATTAATATAACTTTAAATATAAAAAAGATCAATAAATTAAACTAGGTCAATGTTTGAAAACTAAAATACATTTTAAATATTAAATAGCCTGTTTGAAAGTTGCCCAACGAGCATCATCAGATTCATGAGTCAGGTAACGAACACCAGTTGACTTTTCCAAGGTTCTTAAATCACACCATGTTTCATAATTCTAAACAGATAAAAACCCATTAAACAGATAAATAATAAAGATACTTGAAATATTTAGGTAGGTATGTACATCTGACTCATTGTCAAAAACACTGTTCACATAATGAGGTTAACTTTTCTCCCTCATAATACGTACTCATATATGTGTATACAAATGCCAACATATGCACACCAGACTTGGGTAGTATTTCAAATACAGTATTTTTTATTTTAAAATACAGTATTTTATATTTTAAGAAGTAAATTATATTGTTTGCATCTCTATTTCCTTTTGAAAATACAAAAAATTGAATTGAATTTTTATTTTATTTCTAAAATACATAAAATGTATTTAATTTTATTTCTAAAATACGTAAAATGTATTTAATTTTATTTCTAAAATACAAAATACATAAAATGTATTTTATTTGGAATTTTAAATATACAAAATACGTTATCAAATTGAGAAGGAGCCTTTAAGTTATATAGTATGGCTAATAGTTTGTACAAGAATTCACCCATGAAAATTGAGCTTGAAAATTATTTAAGATTGATGATGCTACATTTTTATTACAATTATCTTTGGTAATAAAACTGGTAAGTAGTTCTCTAATGTGTCAGATGCTCCTAGAATGAAATTGATGGCTGATCAATTGTTTGGGGAACAGGTGTCAAACAAAAATTAATTGCCAAAAGGTTTGGTTAGAAATTAATATCTAGTCTATTTACAAATTGTTCTTTAAAAAAAATGATGATTGAATAAAATATTTTTTCCTCAATAGATTGTTTTAAAACTCGAATCTACTGTGCCCTCCTTTCATAACTGCTTTCTTTACAAAAAATAAATAAATAAAATAAAAAATTATAATTTAAAAAGCAAATTATAAATTTTATATAGGAATCAGTTGTAAAGTGCAACTAAGTACATTAGATATGCGTATTTTGTGTTTGTATTTTATGTTTTTTTATCTTAAATACAAAATACTTTTCCTGTAAATATTTTAAATACATTGTAATTAAAATACACTGTATTTTAAAAACACAAAATACATGGTACTTTAAACACTGTATTTTAAAATAATAATTACAATACATTTTGCTCAGGTCTGGTGCATAAAAGTACATCCATACACGCACAAATATATATAACTGGATTATCAGCCCTGGCCAATCCTAATTGTTCAAGGTCCACTTTGATGCCACAATTTAGTTAAACATGGTTTAAAAAAATGTAATACAAATAAAACTTCATTATTATAATTAGATTCATTGAATCCTAATTAATAAGACATTTATTTATTATTTTTTTATTAAAAGTTCCCAATTTTTTCAATAAGATATGGTGTTCATGGATATCAAACATAAAACTGAAGGGCATAATTGCATATGTGTATTATGATGACGTATATCCATTTTAATTTATTTAATATTTTTGCTATATTTACAATAAGAAACAAAAGTTCAATAGAAATATAAAATGATCCAGCAAAGTAGCGTGGCAGACAGTATGTTAGCCAGGGCTGGATTAAATCAATTTCATGCATAGTAACCCATCCAATGTAAAAAGAAATATGTATAACTATTTTAAATAAAATAGAATAATGAATGTCCTTTTTCTTTCTCTAGCACTATTAGTAAGCCATTTATGAGTACTGAATGGTGTGGAAGAGGCCTGTAGGGAACTACGCCAGTAGCGCTTAAATTCATATTCTACGGAACAGCTTCAAATATTTTAAAAAGTTATCAGTGTTTTAGAAAGCAAAATATATTCCCCAGATGTTTTATTTCAGCACGTTTTGCGATATTGTTGCCCGTTTAATTACAAACGAAGCTTGATTTTCAACTTGTGTTTTTTATTACCTAAGGTAATTATTTTTGAATATTTTTTCATGGTTTTTTATTGTCTGACTAATATCTAGCTTTAATAAAAGACCAACTATGACAAAAATTAAACTAAATGCTGATTCTCAGTCATCAAAAAACTAACTAAAGTCAAAGTCGTCAGTCCGCCATGTTTGGACGCCATTTTGGGGCAGTTCTTTCACTTTTTTTTGTGGGAACATTGGCTTTTTTTAAATAAATAGTTACAAGGAACACAACGATATGCAATTTATAGGGATGTGGAGGGGATGCACGGTAGGGGGGTCTGGCCCACCGTGTATGAGTGTAAAGGGGAGTTTTGTGAATAATGAAGGGCCCTCGATCTCCCCTAAATTTTCTCTAAAGTAGAAGGGAAATTTAAGGGATGGGATCTGATCCTTCCCATTCAGAGACGATAAGGGAATAGTGGAGTATAAGGGTCATCTATGCATACCACCAATAGCAACTACGTCACCCTATTTATTTTATATTTAGTACTTACAATTTTTATCTCTTAATATTCTATTTCATTTCTTTCTTAATTTCATTAAGTTGTTACAGTTATTTTTTTATTGTTTATTTTATAAGTTCCCAACTCTGTTATTGTTATTTTATGTATTAACCATTAATAAAATTTAATTTGACATTTCAAGCTGTCATTTTATAGTTAATTTTTCATTGCTTTGTTAATTTCATTATGTCATTATCGTTATTTTATTATTATCAACTTCACCACTTTATTACCTTTCCTACGAACTTCCTAAGTTTGTTCCATTATTTCATAAACACTTTCTTTGAATGAAAACTTCAACTAACTTCTCTTCAATATATCTACGACAATGAAGTATCAATCTATCATTTTATTTTTTTCTTGTATAGCGGTTGTGGTGTACCCTTCAAACACATCTAACCCACTTTTGTTGTCTTCTATGGATAGGGATTTTCAATGAAGATATAGCTAATTACTCTTATAGTCTCATTTCTGATGCGCTTACGTCTTTGAGTTGGTTCTTTTGTGGTTTATTCTTTTGATTTGGCTGCCTGAAGTAATGGAGCAGCCCCATTTTTCACATTCAAAGCCTCCCATTTAAATTTTAGTTAATTTTAAGTATATCCATTCAACAAAATATTTTCTTTTTGTATTATTTGCATTGAGATTTTTGGAGACCTCAATAACTTGAATTCCTTGATAACTCATTTTATTTTTAACCCCTTAATTTTCTGGGCAGAGAGTGGTCACATGATTGCAATAATACCTAGTGGTTATCCAAATACCTAGCTCAGCCACGCTAAAAATGAGAATCACCCCTACATACATGCATTTTACTCCTAACTGGTAACTGAATCTAATCTTCATAACGACGACTTACAAATTATGTTGAAATGTCAGTACACATTAAACAATCTATTGCATTATTGTTTGTTTTATTTTTCATCACACCCCAAACATCATCTCCTTAATTTCATCTACAATCAACAATGTATCCATCACAGTTATAATTAACAATAAATCCATCACATTTATAACTATAGCTGAATTAAAATAATTAGAAAACCAAATTATAGAATATATATTCAAATTATATATATATATATATATATATATATATATATATATATATAATACAATCATATAATAGGTAAGTAGCAAATAAGCCATTATCAATACTAATTAATTAAGACTTACCTGAAGCCAAACATGTGAAAGTGACTTATCAACAGTAAATCTTTTCCTCTGTTTAACTTGAAGCAAATTGTTTATAAGATCAATAGCTGAAATATTTAATTCTACATAAGTATATTAAAACATACATCAAGCAAACAATAAATGTACCAATCAATACCTTCTGAAGAAATTTCTTTCCAAGGATTAGGTGGATACATAAATGCTGCATTTTGAATCTGCTCATTGATATCTTCATCTTCATTGAAAGGAAATGTTCCGCTTAAGGAAACATACACAATAACACCTACAGACCACATATCCAGAGATCGATTGTATCCCTTGTTACGAAGAACTTCTGGTGCTACAAACAAGAGATAAAAATCAGTACAAGCACATACACTCTCATACACATGTACATAAAAATAACCAATGATTTCAAACCAGAGATGGGCTAATGCTATTTTCAGTACCAAGTATTTTACTTAAATTGAATCATTACTTCAGTTAATCATTTGACATCAACTGAAGTAGTAATTAAATTTTTTGGTTCTCAAAAAACGTCAGTATTTGAGTAAAATACATTGTACTCAGTTTTCAGAATAGCATTTTCCTATCTCTGTTTCAGATTAACAAGACCACTGACAGATAATGGTGAAGCAAAAACTTAGCTTAAAATTTCAATATGACACTGACTGACATATGTGATGAATTCAGAAGTTATACATTTTTAGAAGCTCATAGAAGAGATGCGATATATATGACAACAAGTGTCATTAAGTCTCACCCTTCCCAATTCCACTCTCATCTTGTGGGCTCTGTTAAACGCAGCAATCAAGTCTGAGGTAGAGATAATTAATCCCTGCGAAGGGTTGGATAGGTGAACAAAAGAGAGATAGTGGTCTTGACAGAGCTGCTGGGAATAACCTTAGACCAGCCTTGTTGAAATAGAATATGCTGGTAGTAAGCCATACATAATTGGGATGGTGGCAAATGAACCTAGTTCATTGGGCCAGAAAAACTTGGTGATATGAAGGTTTTTGGTCTGACAATCCCAGTAATGACATTTTCCAGTGCACCACCCTAAAAAAAAGGTCGTCCCTGGTAGGGCGTGTCTCTGCTGTACACCTGACTCCTGAGATGAGACAGCCCTGCCTCTTTCTTAGTTTTAAGCAGGCCTTCTCATATTTGTTAATTTTATCAATTAGGGTGTAATTTTTACAATTGGTGAGAATTCATGTCACCAAGTCTGCAACAAGGATTTTATAATTCGCAAATGTGAAGGCTGAAAAGCAATGTTGATCTATTCTATAGCATAACTCCACTGCCAAGGGCAATTCCTTAACAGCCTGCCTGTTGCCATGGACGACTTAGAGTCCATTCAGCAAGAACCACCCACTACTGAAGATGAACATGCCAAATATTTCACTTCTTCTTTCACACAAGTACAATTAAATAGTTGTTTTAAACAATCTTTTCCTTGTTTTCCCACCTTGATTCGGTGGATTTTATATACTTTTTTTCAGACTTAAAAATAGTTTTAAAATTTATATTTAGTTAGGAAATTTCATGGATTTCCTAGGAAGCATGTGATTTCCATTAAATAATATTAGTTTTCAGAAATTATTATTTATAATTTTTTGTCAATCTTCGTTACTTTATGTTAGATATTGTTTTTTTCTAAAATTCTCCGCTTTCTAACGATATATTATATGTATACCTTATGAATATTATTTTTTGAGATTCATTTTCGACCTAAATAAACGTTTTTCCTTTTTTCAATTATCAAATTCTTTGAAAAGTTATATTTAGCTTTTATTTTACACCTGATAACAATGAGAGGTAGTTAATTATTTAAAATAAACCAAATAGAAAATAATTTAGAGGAAGAAATTTTGAACATTGGGCATTTAAGCCCTAATAAGTGACCTCAATAGAGATAAGACCTCAATGATATTAAAGACAACTTAATTATACATTGATATAACAAGTTTAACCAAAATCATTAAATCCATTTTTTAGAAAATTGTAAAATCGATTATATAAAGTGGCACTTCCAGCTAACCGATTTTAAGGAGTGGCTGTAACATCCAAGGCATATACTTAATTTAAATATGTATTCTCAGTTTCATACGACTTTTTATTTTTTAGCTAGAATTTTCAAACACATACACACACAGACCATTTTGTGGGACTAGGTTATTTGGACTCAGGGGACCTCAAAAGGTATATTTCTGTTGAACACTCAGATTCAAAAATTTTCATGATCAAAATACTTCCTCTGACTACATATTACATATATAGATAAGTGAAAGTAAAAAATTGTTAATTGAAATAACAGGACATATATATTTAGAAGAAAACAAATTAAAATAATATAATACCTTATAAATTCAATCATAAGAAATGAAAAAATTGTAAACAAAATCTAAAAATATATCAAGATATTAAATAAATGTATCAGCAGACCAAAATGAATGAAGCTAAAACTAGGATTGATTGAAATTACATAACAAACCATATTTACCAAGATAAGCAGGTGTTCCTACAACAGATCTACGAAAACTCTTTTCTCCTATGATTCGGGCAAAACCAAAATCACATAATTTTACTTGAGGAAAATCTGAATTTGAGCTTAACAAAACATTTTCAGGTTTTAAGTCACAGTGGACAATATTTTTACTGTGTAAGTGTTTCAGGGCAACTAAAATCTGAAAGTAACAACAAGATGGGATTATAATTAACAAACAATTTTCGATAGGATAGAAGGTAAGCAACATTATTTTGGATAAGGTATAAAGTACATTAAATAACAATAATAACACCTGTGTAATCAAAAACTTTGTAATTCTTTCTGACAAACGACCTCGTTCACTAGACAGTATCATTTCTAACATGTCACCCTTTAACTTCTCCATAATCACAAATATTCTATCAGGTGTTTCAAACATGCGTTCTAAATTCACTACACCTTGATGAGAAAGATTTTGAAGAATAGATACTTCATTTTTTAATTGAGCTTCTTGTTTTGTAGGAAAACGAAGTTTATCAATAACTTTAATGGCCACTGTTTTCCCAGATTTCCGATGAACACCTTTAAAAAATAAAATAAGTAGCATTAACCAAAATGTATAAACAAAAATAAGTTACATAGACTTACTGCATAAAAAATAAACTTAATGAATGTTTGAATCAATAAAATGATGCACATAAATAGGCTATTAACCTTTTAGCGACAATGAGCAGGAAGAGAGGAGCTGCCTTGAGCATAATAGTAGCTGACAGTTCTCTGTGCTCCAGTGATAGAATACTTTTCATGAACTCTACTCACCAATTTTTTAATTTTTTTTTTATCCTTTTTATTTACTGCATCGTTCTAAACTTATTTATTTTGTTTTTTCTATCTAACTTTTATAGAATTGAAGTGTTGAATTTTTACATTATCTTTTTTTTTTTAAAAAAGATATAAACTTTTAACTCTTTCTTTTTTTTTAAATTGATTTTTTATGCAATGAATAAGACAACAAATAAAAATAAAACTTTTTTATGTTTCTGTCATATTTACTCTTTAAAAAAAAATACTGAAACGTGTTATAATATTACTAAGAATGGAAGTAATATACATAAAATATTATACTGTAAATTTATTCATAACAATTCTATTATATTCATCTGAATGGCAGAAGGTACAGGACAGGAAAAAGTCCATTTTATCATTTACAAATCTAGCAGTGCCAGATCAAATCCGGTCTGGGGTGGGATCAAAATTTATTTTATGGCAGACCCATGAAACGAATATCTACCTTCTTATTTTGGTTACAACTCTGGAATAACCCCCTCTTATGCCAGAGATAGTGAGAAGTAGAGGGTAAAAAAAAACTACAGAAAAATACATTAAAAGGTTGAGAATAGTTTTTCAGCATGCATGATCCAAAAATTTGTTTTAAGTGAGACATGTATGACCAGTGCCTATTTGAGGTACTGTGATAAGTAATGAGCTTACAATGTAGTTGACAATTGTTTTTACTTTCTCAAAATATTGACAATTTCTCCAAGGAATTATGACGAGTTCTCTTAAATATTATTATTTGAGATAGTATTATTACATTTTTACAGTTTAGGGTGCTAAACTTCCAATGTTCAAGGTCCCAGGTTCAAATCCTGGCCTACAGCAGATAAATTATTAATTCTGTTGAGCATGATCTCGATCAAATAACCTCTTTGCATAACTGTTGACCAAAAAACAGTATTTTCCCTACATAGTACTGAATCCCCTTTAAAGACCCTTTATGGGTTGTAGAGGTATAAGTTTTTTTTCTTCAAATATTGACGATTTCTCCAAGGAATTACAATGAGTTCTCTGAACGATGTTAGGCGATGAGGATAAAAGTAATGAAGAAAAGTACTTAGTGGGTGTATGAATTAAAGAAACAAGACTTTATTTTAAAACTAAAAGAATTAGGTGTGGTTTTTGATGAAGCTGATTCTGTAGACAAGTGAAGACAAATTTTAGTGCAGGAATTGCAAAGTGAAAATAAAGAAGAAAGACCATTTGAATGTCACTAAGAGATCAGTTTGTTTGTGGGATAAAGAATCATAAGACAGGAGTTGAGTTATTTAGAAAAGAGAAGGTTTCATTTTCAGATGTTTTGAAAGTCACAGAGACCAGGGAACTGGCAATGGAAAGTGCTAGCAACTCATCGGATAACGAGTACTCGCAGGTAAACTATATAATCAGAAGAAATACAGACAGCAACAAAACAACTAAAGGTATTAGTCTAGAATTAACTCAAGGGCAGTCTAGTTATGGGAAGATTCAGAGTAAAGAAAACTTAATTAACACATCCATCCATCATTATTTAATAGCAATAAAAAAAAATATTAGTTGTTTTTGTTGTGGTGAGATTAACAGTCAGTATGCCAGAGAATGTATCCACAGATTTAAAGAGTGTAACTTTTGTAATGTCAGGGGCATTTGGAAAAAATGTTTCTAAAAAAAAATGGAACCAAAAAGTAAAACAAAGAGTAAATTATTTAGAAGGGGCATAAAAACAGAAGAAGATAGTAATAATGAACAAGATTTTTTCACTTAGAACAAGTTCTTTTAGGGGATACTGAATTCAGGCCTCAACGCCAGACCCAATATCATATATTTTCTCTCCCAATATCTAATTTCTCTCCGAATCATTGGTAAATTGTGGGAACGAGGAAAGAGTATCTTCTTGGCATTTAAAGATCTAACGGTTGCCTTTGATTTGGACCCTAGACAAGAACTGTGGAATGCTCTTTCTGGAAAAACATCCCACAAGGATTGGTAGAAGCTATAAAGTCGACCAATCACGATTCCAAAGGAATAGTAAGAATTAATAGAAGGGAGTCCGATACATTTGCGATTGAGAAAGGCGTAAAGCAAGGGGATAGTTTGAGCCCCCTCCTGTTCATAATTTATATAGATGAAATACAGAAAATGTGCAAACACAGGAGAGGTTTTACCAGGGAGAGGTCCTCTTCATTGGTCCTCTTCATGGGGAGAGGTCCTCTCGTTGGGAAGAAGCTGGGTTACCAAACTTAGTCTGTGGCCATTTAAACTAGAATTAAATTATTGTAATTCAGAGGAGACAAGTGAGAAAGTAATGGCTAAGGTTAAATTATTATTCCAGAAATTATTTAGTCCAGGGCAAGGAGTTTATACAGGAAAAAAGATTAAATTAATTTTTTTTAAAGACAGTGTCTATACAATTGAAACCACATAGGGTGTTTTTGCACTTAAAGACAAGGTAAAAAGAGAAATAAAAAGATTAATTTCCGTAGGTAATCTAGAGCCTGTGACGGTTAGTAGTTAGAGTGTGTGGTAGCTTTAAGTTAACCGTCAATCCATACTTAATTATCAAACGTCAACCTGTGCCAAGTAAAGAAGAGGTTTTTCGTGAATTACAAGTAGATAGTAAATGGTCCCAGATTGATTTAGCACTTGAAATCATGCAATTCAGAGTTGATGAAAGTTCCAAAGAAGCACTAACGATTATTACAGATGAAGGTTTATTTCAATATACTGAACTAGCGGAGGGTGTGGCGTCCAGTCCTGGAGAATGTCAGGAAATTTTAATAGAAATCCTTAAGGGAATTCCTTACACTGAAATTTACATTGATAATATTTATTGTACAGGTAGAACAGATGAAGAATGAATGTCTTTATCATAACCGAAATATTTAGGCGCTTAAATGTTTCAATCACAAGTGATTGACAAGATTGCTGACACTTGGTGACACTTGACAAGTGATGCCTTGTCAAGATTGCCTTTAAATGACCACACTCCGGTATATGATTCAGAATTTACAGCTCTTAACTATGTGGAAGAGGGGATGCCTTTGTTGAATTACAAACAAGTGGTCACTGAATCAGTGAAAAATAAAATATTAAGCAAGGTGATAAATTGGGTAGCCACTGGCTGGTCAACTGAAAATAAGACTTTATTTGATATCGAAAAAATGTTTTTCTCAAAGAAACTAGAATTATAGCTGGATAAAGGATGTCTCATGTGGGGAATAAAAGTGATTATACCAGAATAACTTCAACTCATCTTACTAAAGCATTTACTAAGATCACATCTTGGTATAAACAAGATGAAGAAAATGGCAAGATCTTATTTTTGGTGGCCGAATTTGGATTTAGATATTGAAAGTTATGTTGGAAGTTGCTTCACCTGTGTAGCAAACAAAAAAGAGTCCAACAAAATTGGGAATTTGCATAGGCCTTATCCAAGCAAAGCTTGGTCTCGACTACACGCTGCCTTCTTAGGTCCGTTACGAAATAGGATATTTTTAGTTGTCATAGATGCCCACAGCAAATGGCAAGAAGTTTTTGAAATGAAAGATAATATGAAAGCCTGGAAGGTTATTCAAATCTTCAAAAAGTTATTTGTCAGACACGGATTGTGTGATGATTTGGTTACTGACGGAGGACCCCAATTTACAAGTAGTTTATTCAGAAACTTTCTGAAAAGGAATGGTATATGGCATACAGTAACACCTCCAAAATATTCAGCAACAAACGGAGCTGCAGAAAATTTTGTTGATACGTTTAAAGATAAAATGTGCAAGATGTTATGTATAAAAGAGAAATTAAAACGAAATTTGACCTTCTGAAACCAAATGTGAATAATGATGTGGAACTTAAGCAGTGCCGATCCATCTTAAGGAATGAATCATCTTGTTGTATCAACTTTCAGGTAAATGATGAAGTAATGGTAAATGATTTTAGCGTAAATGCCATAAATAAGAGGACTCGAGGAAGAATAAATAAGCAACTGCCACCTGTCACATTTTTAGTTGAAACAGACGATGGTATTACATGCAAACGCCATGTGGACCAAATTGTCAGATTTCTCCATGAGAAAAAAAATAAGAAAAGAGGCTATTTCTGTAAATCAACAAGGGTTAATGGCCATGTTGATCTTAAGCAGTTCTTTTAAGCTGTTGATGTTGTTATGGAGATTCCTGTCCTCTTCTGTGAAAATAAAAATGTCATCGGCAAATCAAGAAGTAAGAGTTTTACTGGTCTTAGATTAGCATATCCTAGGTGGAATTTCCTTATATTCTCTTTGGTCCTCCGAATAAGATCCTGGAATATATTTTGCTTAGTATGCTTAGGAGAGATATTCCACAGTGGTTAATACAATCTTTCTTATCTCCTTTCTTAAAGATTGGAAATATGACTGTTACTTCCCAATCTTTCAGTATTTTCTTCTGCTTCCATACCAGGTTTAAAAGGTGCAACATCATTTCTTCTCCATTTAGTCCCATATATTTCAGCTTTTCGGGAGTTATTTCATCCTTACCTGAGGATTTTCCCAGCTTCATACTCTGTAACCCTTCCTCTAATTCGTCTTCATCCATGAAAACATCCTCTTCGCAGGTATTTCCTTGGTTCTATTCTTCATTTACTTGGGTTGGGTCTCTCTTACAGCAAATTTAGGAAATATTCTCTTTATCTTTCCATTATTTGGTCACTCTGCCTGAGAGTATTCCCCTCCTTGTCCTTGATGAACTTCAATATGGGCGCTCTTTCTTTACTTAATCTCTTAAGTATACCGTAGAACAACTTTTGATTTTGGTGGAAATCAAATTCCAATTTTCGTCCAAAATATGTCCAAGCTATCCTCTTGGCTTCTATGACATTGTTCTTAGCCTCGAGTCTTTTTCTCTTGTACCTCAAGAGTATTCTTTTTAAAGAATATTCTTCTCTCCAATAATTTTTTTCACTTCATCGGACCACCATGCTGTTCTCTTATATTGGACCCAAATTCGTTTTTTTCCACAAACTACAGTTGCCGCGTCCAATATTAGTTTCTTAAACTAAATTCAAGGTCTCTAAAGAGAAACACGCTAAAGAAGTGGTCCTTTGTTATTAAGGAAGAATTATACAAGAAAATGGAGAAATGGGAGGCGGTCTTGCCTAGGATAATAACAGCCAATCTTCAGCTATCTCCAGGTAAAATCACTTTAGTACAAATTTATGCTCCAGCTCAAGATTCCTTTGTAATAGAAAAGGAACGATTTTACTCGGACTTAGAAAGAATAACGAACAGGTTCAAAAGGATGAGTAGGAATATTATCTGTTGTGGAGACTTCAATGAAAGGACCAGATGGGACTTTGAAGATATGCATAAAGTCATGGGAAAGCATGGAGGTGAAAGGACAAAGAATGAAAATGGACAAAGATTGATAGAATTTTGCATTGATGATAACATGCTTATTGGTAACTCCTTCTTTCCACACATAAAATAACATTTTCGGCACAGGAAATAAACAGTGTTATCGATTACTTTATATTTGAAGAAGATATCAGAGGTTGGTTCACAGACATTAAAGTGATCAGAATTGCTGAAATAAACACAGATCATTTGCTTTTGGTCACAGATACCCAGATTATGAAGCCTAGAAACATGACATTTAAAGCATATTAGAAGATAAATGTGAGAGCCCTTGACTCAATTGAGAAAAGACAAGAATATGAGGCATGCCTAGAAGCAAAAGTGAAAAAGTCAGACCATAATGGGACTGTGGAAGAAATCTGGAAGTTCCTAAAAGATAGGATACTTGAATCAGCAAGGTCAGTATGTGGAGTGAAGAAAATAAACACCAAATAAAAGCACACAAAATGGTGGAGAGAAGGATTCAAAGAAAGATTCTACAGTAAGAAAAAGGCACGGAGAAAGCATACCTGATGAATCGTATACCACAGAAGTGGGAAGTGTACAGGCCTACATGCCTATCCAAAGTGACCTACAAAATTTACACTACTATATTAGAAAACAGGTTAACATCACTGATAGAACCAGAATTAAAAGATTAGGCTGATTTCAGAACAGGAAGGAAAATGTAAGACCACATATTGATCACAGAAATGTTGAAAAGAGATGGGATAGAAATTGAAGTATATATATATATATATATATATATATATATATATATATATATATATATCACTTTCTTAGACTTGAAAACTGCCTTCAACTCAGTACCCCAATGTGAAATATGGAGAGCATTAAGAGGAAAGCATATTCTTGAAGACCTTCTGGCAGAAATGAAATCAACATACCAAAGTCCCAAAGGAATAGTGTGTGTAAGTGGCAAAGAGTCCTCCAAGCCATTTCTGTTGGAACGAGGTGTGAAACAGGAGGACAGCTTGAGTCCATTATTGTTTATCTCGTTTATGAATGAAATCCACAAAATATGAAGAAGAAGCGCTTGGACTGCAGTCGGTATGTGGAACATGAGGATAATTAAAGTGCAGATGTTCCTATAAGCAAACGATGACTGAACCTCAAAAAAACTGTAACATGCAATTAAAGAATGACAATAAGAACTCACTCGTGAAGGAATGATTATCAATTGCTGCAAGAGTAAGGCTATGACTGTAGCAAGAGATGAGGGAGATATAAGAATGACATGCAATGGAGAAGAGCTGGAGAATGTAGCCTATTACACCTACCTTGGAACGTGGGGAATAGTAGGAATCTGGGAAAATAGCCCAAAAAGTTTTCAACAGAAATCCATATGGAACTTTGATGATATGGGAACATATGTAGAATGGGAGAAGACAGAGTACTAAAGAAAATTATGGAAGCGAGGCCAACTGGCAGAAGACCATAAGGCAGGCCAAGAAGAACATATCTGGAATATATCCAACAACTAGGTCAGGAAAGAGATAAAATCCTTGGTCAGTTGAAGGAATTGGAGAAAGATCAAAATGTATGGTTGAGGGGCTGGAGGTTCCTCCACTCTGAAAGGCACACAAGGAGAAATAAAAATAAAAAATAAAAATTATAGTATAATGTGAGATTTGATTCACTATTTTCTCTACTTATACCACAGAGAACTTTATAAGAAATATAAAGATACCTTCTTTTGTCAGAAATAAAAACATAGATGAAGAATATTTTTCCAAACAATAACAGACTACAATAATAGCTTTATTTTCACAACTAAATTAAATTGTTCAGGTTATAAGAATCAATTGATATATATTTAGAAATGACAATTAATTTACACATAGAACACCTTAACAGATACATTACCTCCATATACAATTCCAAATTGTCCAGAACCCAAAACTTCATCAGGAAATATTTGATATAAAAGTGTCATATCAGTTATTCTTCCTTCATTTTCATTATTATATTGAGAAGCTATAAAATATTACCAATAAATTCATTAGTGACTAAAATAACATACAATTTAGATAGAAAAAAAACAACATGAAATATAAGTCATCAAAACCACACACACAAAAAAAAAAAGGAGTAAAAATAGATATTTCATTACAAGGATAAAAACAGATTACCCCTGTGGGGTTGCTAATCCTCCATCGGGTGCCTCCCCAGGTGACAGATAGGGGAATACCTCCCAGATATGGTTGGTACCGGGGAAATGAAATACCCAGGGTAGACCAAAACTATCTCCGAGTAGATGTGATTCCTCAGTTATAGTGAAGACAACACGTCTAAAGGAAGAGAATATCGATCAAAAATTTCCTGGTTCTCCAGGTTGGGGGTTAGGAGTCGGTCTAAAGATCCGGCCCAGTAAAACAACCATTGTTACGAATCCTTCACAAATAGCCGGAATGATTAATGGTGCGACCCAAGTGCGGACACGGTAAACACTTGTCTCTAGGAACATCGAAAGTAAGAAGCCTCCTTCAGATTGGAGCGAGTAGGAATCTTGAAGAACTTTTAAGGTATAAAATAGATGTAGCAGCACTCCAGGAACTCTGCAGGAATGATAACAAGCTGGTTAATCTAAAGGACTACCTTCTTATCAACAGTGGACATAAACGGAACCAAGTTTGGGACAGGGTTTATGATAAATAATAAACTGAAATACTCTCTGCTGAAATACGAAGCCATCAACCCATGTATATGTGCAATAAGACTAAGGGGACTGTTCTTTAATATTTCTATGGTCAGTGTGCATTCCCCTAATGAAGATGCGGATGATTAAACAAAGGACACATTTTATGACACTCTAGAAAGAAACTACGATGCTTTACCCACCCGCCTATGACGTGCAACTTATCTTTGACGTGAGACTTCAATGCAAAGATACGCAAAGAAGAATACTTCTGTCCCACGGTAGAGCTGAATAGTAAACACAAGGAAACCAATAACAACAAGTTAGTAGATTTTGCTATGGGGAGAAGCATGGAGGTAAGCAGCACACACTTCCAGCACAAAGATATCCATAAAGAAACATGTATATCACCAGATGGCAAGACGAGAAATCAAGTAGATCATGTCTTAATTCAATCGAAACATGCCATGGATATTCAAGACTTCCAAAGATGTAGAGGAGCAGTGTGTGGATCAAACCACCATCTAGTCAAAATAAATTATATGCAAAAAATTGGGTTGAAGGCGCGATGAAGAGCAGAAGAGCCTCCGCTTTGTTTTGATGTGAACGGCTGAAGGACGAAGGTACAAGACAAAGATTAGTCTCGTGAGTGTCTGGAAGTAATCTCTGAGCTACTTGGAAGTAATGGGAGAATAAACGATGTCTGCTGAAGTTGGACACATCTGAAAGAAGCCTTAAATAGAGCAGCGATGGAGGAGCTAGGCGAAAAACCCAGACCAGCAAGAAATAACTGGCTTGGTGAGGAATACAGGCCAATACTCAAAACAAGAAATGAGGCGAGGCGTAGGATGATTCAGCGTCACACTATAAGTACAGCCAAGGAGTACAGTGACAAGTGAAAGGAAGAAAAGAAGATATGCAGGCAGAAGAAAAGAATCTGGGAAAGGAAGAAGCTGGAAAATATTCAGGAAAAATTCGAAGACCATAACTACAGCGGTTTCTTTGGAGGTCTGAGATTCGAGAAGGATGGCTTTAGACCTCGTCTCAGCTTTTGTAAGAATTAAGATGGAAACTTAGTTATGGGTAAAGAAGAAGTTGTTAGCAGATGGGCAGAATATTTCAGGGAGATATTGAATAAGGATCACATCATTAACGATAGTGGGCCACTGGAAGCTGACCTTGACAGGATCCTGAACCCGCAATCTGGGGAACTAGATGAGGATGATATATCGCTGGACTGGGAGGAAATTGTGAGCAATCTAAAGATGCATAAAGCCCCTGGGATAGATGGGATTGAAGCAGAGCTGCTGGAATACCGTGGGGACGAAGTATGGGAACAGCTCTATCAGCTCATATATGATATCTGGTCAGAAGAAGAAACCCCTGAGGACTGGAAAGTAGCGGTTATCTGTCCCATATATAAGAAAGGCGACAAACACTATTCAGAGATCTCATATCCGTGGGTGTTTCAAGGAAACTGACCAGTTTGGTAAGAATGACAATGAAGAATACACGATGTCGAGTAAAGCTGCAGGGAGTACTATCTGAGGAGTTCCAGATAACGACAGGAATCTTACAAGGAAATACAAAGGCAATCATACTCCTTAATATGCACTTGGAAAAAGCTGTGCGTGCCATCAGAACAAGCCCGGGAGGCACAATCTTTAATCGCCTCACACAGCATCTTGCCTAAGCAGACGACGTGGAGATTGCGGCCGATCCCTTCCAGCACTGGCAGAAGCTCTAGAGGAGTTTGAGGCGGCAGCAGCAGCAAGACTTCTGGGCATAAATGAAAATAAGACTGCCTATATGATGAGTAGCAGACAACATCCTGTGCAGAACAAAGAAATCCTAAATATAGGCTCCTTAATGACAGATGGTAACAATATTAAGGCTGAAATTGGTGACAGAATAGCTGCAGGAAACCGATGCTATTTAATTACTGATGCAGCGGGTATTTAAATTCCATGGTATGTCAAGGAAGGCAAAGGAAGTAGTGTATAAGAGCAAGATTTGTCCTGTAGTAATTTGCGGCAGTGAAACATGGACAATGACGGCTGAGTATGAAAGAATGCTAGGAGTCTGAGAGAAGAAGATCCTGCGGAAGATACAACCAGGAGCTTGCTGTACTATACAGAGAGGATGCCATCAGACAGGACAGGAGGGAAGGGTGCCAAAGAAGAAAAGGAGAGGCAGGCCACCACATCGGTGGGTAGATGACGTAGAGGAGGATTTGAGACGACTCGGTATCAGGCGGTGGAGAGCTGCCGCAGCAGATCAAGAAAAGTGGCGGAGAATTGCGAAGGATCCTAGCAGACCATAGTGCCAAGGAAGAAGTAAAACAGATTAACTTAAGACTGATACAATATAAACAAATTATAATTAATAAGATTAGTATGACAAATATGTCAGGTGATATCAGTCTAAAATACTAAATTATACCCAAAGAGTTGATATTAACATATAACTTAAGCTAGTTAAAACAAGCACTTATTATCATGAATACTTTAATACTTCTGCTAAAGATTTGTGAACCTAAATAAATCAAACAGGTATGAACGGTTAGCTCATTATGCTTAAATAGGCATTTGTAAGTACACCATGATTAAAAAGGTATTGAAACATCATTTTCCAATATGTAGACTGAAAAGGACTAAAATCTTCATTTCTTCTACATTTTAAAGATGTGATATTTACAAAAATCAGCATATTTTATATTGAGGATTCAACAAATATGAAAGAGATAGGTCAAAAGACCCAATGCTACAAGGAATTTAGAAAGTTTATGGCTAGGGTCTCATATGTGAGAGGCGCATAGAAAATTTTTCGTTTAAAAATGTTAACTTTCAAGCCAAACCTTGCTCAGACTGATTTACTTGAATGAGTGTCATCCGAGACCATTTATTGAAGAAAATCCAGCAGTAAGCATATGCATCAGATGGGAACAGTTGTTGATTGTTTAGCAATCACCATCATTTAAGGGTTAATCTATGGTACCAGAAACTATCTAGACATTAAATATAATAAATATTTATCTAAACACACACTGATAACATGCAATGGTGTAGAAAAAAACTATGTTTTCCAGTGAGACTTGTTAATAATTGTTATATTTGTATCAATAGAATAACTTTACTGTTAATCTGTCAAGGAAACATAGATAAGATATTTAAATTACTATAATTAAAAACTATAGACATAGGAAAAAACAAAACATACTATATAGTCAAGCAGTTTTTATTACATTCTCCTCACACAAACATCAACATTTATAGAACAGCAATGTTATTGAAATCAATACTAATGTTATTAATTATTCAAAATGCATTCTAACTAAACCTATACAGACTAGATATATCTTAATCTCAATTGTCTATATTGCTTTAGTAACTAATCACTTATTTATTAGTTAATTACTCAATAACAGGATTCTGATAATTTTATTAAGAAAAAAGTCATAAAAATAATTTTTAAAAATGCTAACCTGCATTAGGAGTAACAGGCATTAATGCTTGCCTGATAGCAGTTTCCCAAGATTTTCCAATATGTGCTCCATCACCAGTTGAAAAGTTTGTATCTTCACCAACATAATAATCTACTTGTTCTGTCCTTATTTCAAAACAATGCTTCACATCTAAATAAATAATTGAGTCAAAATTGAAAGAATATAGTTATCATTGTATCTTCAACAAAGTAGGTAACACAATATGTACACACACACACACACAAATGTACAGCCGATTCTCGATTATATACAACTATGTATGATGTTATCTATAGTGACATAAATGAAAAAAATACTTATTTATATATCGAGAGAAAGAAATGATGTTATTGGAAAAGCAAAAAAAAATAAAGTTTTCATTTAAAGGCACTATAATGGAAAATATACTTGTACATTATTACAACGCACTAACGGATCCAGGATTTAATTTTGGGGGGGTTTCAGCCTGAAGATTTTCTTTTATGTATATATATTACGATAATTACTTCGGAAGAAAGAAAGAGACTAACTATCTATATAAAATTGTGTTTAAGTGATTCTTCAAGTCCTAAAATTAATTGCCCCTTCAGGAAGATTAATTGGAAATAATGCGATAAAAGGAAATTAACAAAGTAACAAGTAGCGTCATTCACAGATATTGCTACATCAAAATTTTCATCTTTTTTTTTTTTTTTTTTTGTCATATATGTACCAGGCCCCCCAATATTGTACATACTGTGCCCCAGGTGAGGAATATCCATGAAAGAAAATATTGTTAAAATTTTTATAGCTTAATTTTGTTTCATGCTTCAATTTAACTCTATATCTTGGTTAATTTTTTTATGTTAAATTAAATCTAATTCATAATTTAATTAATTTTCAATATTAAAGGCATTCATTCATGTCAATGTTGCAATTAATTAATGTAATATTAAACGGTTTGAACAGCCAGCAGGTGGGTATTGTCTCTAATACCATTTAAAGCAACATTGGGGCTTTTGTTCGATTCCAGCTCATACCAGTTGGCCTGGGACGCCCTCATGCTAAAGTATGATAACCTGCGCGTTCTCGTGCCACGTTGCCTCCAGAAGGTTTTGAATCAGGGCCCCTACTTCCGGCAGTGATAATTCTTAAAACTCAGCTTATCTCGCGGCTGTTGGCGAAAGTACAGTTTCAGCGCGTTGGTTCTGGAAAGCGAAAGGGACGTCTCATCTTGTCCACCTTGGCTCTCCGCACGTTAGACCTGGTCACTAGACGGCAGGAGTTACTTACCGCAAAAAAAGGTCATCGCTGTCGTGAGACATCGGATGATGTCCTCTAAGATGGCCCGCGAATTCGAGTTTACACCTTTGGATGCGTCACGCGCCCATCACTCGGATAGGAGGAAAGCTGGTCCTCCACTTAACTCTCCTTTCAAGCGAACGGTTTCGATTAGGGACTGTGAAAATGAATCCATACGCCAATGTTCGCGTGATGGATCTCTGCGGAGAAATTCTAGTTCTCCGATTAAGGACACTGCAAAGGGAGGTGTCCACTAGCGCAGTGTTTTAGGTTTCTGGCGCTGACGATCAAAAACCGCTGCAATTTTGTAGAGTTGACTAGGCTGTGTTCTAATTGTCTCAGGTCGAGCCATGGAATTTCGGAATGCCGTTCTTCGTTTTTGTGTATGTCCAGACCGTTCACAAGTGCCTATCATCCTAACTAAACTTAAAAATATTTCCTTATCATCTAATGTCCTTAAGTTCTCCCAATAAGTTGTACCTCTACCCCTGTCCAGAGGCGTCCCACAAAGATCCTCTTTATCGCCCACCCTCATTTTCATCTATATCAATGACCTTCCTTCCTCTATCATGCACTGTCAATATCACTTATATGGCGACAACGTCCAAATTTACCTATTCTTTAACATGGCGGATTCATATAATGCCATCCTGAAACTGCAACAAGATATCAATAGAATATGCGCATGGGCGAATCTTAATAAGCTCACATTAAATACAGAGAAGACAAAAGCCATCCTGATCAGATCCCCCTCACTCCTCAAATCCATTTCAGTACCTCCCAATCTTCTCCTGAGCAACTCAGATATCTCTTTCTATACTACCGTTAAAAACCTTGGTGTTACCCTTGATCAATCCCTCTCCTGAAAACCACACATCCCCCAAATTTTCCGCAGTACTATTTCTACCCTACAGTTTAACCATCTACATTATCTTCTTCCATTCAAAACCCATCAACATCTGGTCTCATCTCTTGCTTTCCCCCACTTTGACTATGGCTGTATGGTGTATGGTGGACTCTCGTGTATGGAAGATTTCCTGGTAGAATGGAAGTCTCTCAAAGCAACAGACACAGACAACAGGAGATTGTTCCATGCTGCAAAAATAACTGGCAATTGGGATACCCATAAGAAAGCTCTTACTGAGTATCACAAATCTGTCAGAAAAGCCAAAAGACAAGCCTGGAGAAGGTTTTGTCTGGAGGTAGATGATATTCAGGCTGCATGTCGAGTTAAAAAATTCTGAAAAAACAAGTTAACCAAGGTACTCTGGGAACACTCAAATACGATAATAAGCATACCATAAATGGAACTGAAACTTTGAGTGCAGTAGCAAAAGCACACTTCCCCAATTGTTGTATGACAGAAACAGAACCTCTTGATCCCACTACACAGGTGGTACTGGTGTACATATATGGGACTTGGCAAAAAGAGTGATTACTAACAGCAGACTTGAATGGGCGGTACATTCAACTTTTCCATTAGTCCCAGAATAATCAATTGTTTTCACTCATTTCATTCATTCAAAACAATCATGCTCAGATCACAAATATATCTGATTCGACATATCTGATAGAAAACAATATGATGTGGAATTTAGAGATCCCAAACTAATAAATTGGGATTCCTACAGCACCAATTTGGAGACGGGCGTTAAATGCTGAGTAAGCTAAAAAGCTGCTCCTATATCCCTTGTCGGGGGGGACATACCAAACTGCTGAATAGGATTGAGTATGATGCTAGCCATGCACTCAGACACACAAATCCGTGAGTATCGGGACAGCAAATATGATGTCGAGATTGATAACAGCAGACAATACAAACCAAAAAATGGTATAGATTGTTATATAGATGGCTCTCTAAAAGCTTATGACTCAGGAGCAGGCATCTATGTTTAACAACACTGGACTGATAAGAAACAACGACACTCGAAGCAGTTTTTTAAAGGTCCATGTGATAAAAGAAGCAAGCTGCTATTGAGTTTAGACAGAGCAGCTCTCAAAAAAACTTACAGCAATCTATACTGGTCACTGTAAGTTAAATTATCACATTTTCAATCTCTGTGTGACCATGAACCCGCTATGCAGATTCTGTCAGGAGAATGAAACAGCCTTTCACATTTTTTGTCGATGTGATAGGTTTACAAGGGCTAGACAAGAGCTATTTGGGGGGGATCGAGTGGATTACCCCAGAAGCTATAAGTCCATCAATCCAATAAGCCTCTCTATTAAGATACGCGGAAGCGACTAAACTAACATTTTAGAAATAAAACGGCCATTACATACGGTGCACAATAGATCCTCAAGGGTCATAATGCTTTATGCCAAAGGATTAAAAATTGAATATTCAACAAAAAACTTGAGTTACTTGAAAAAATGCCTAACTTAAATTCCCTACTTTTTTGAGAAAAATCAGACCATGCTTTATATGAATATTTTGGAGCTATTGAGGTCTGTTTTCAAATGTTTAAATATCTCCTTTTGCTTACAAGACTGCCTGTATATTTCCAAAGTATCTGTTGCGTCCATAACGCTGTTGTTATGTATGGTTGGTGTTTATTTATATTAGTTTTTTGTATATTTTTTGAAGTTAGGAAAGTGATAATATCTTAACAGAATTCATCAAGTTTGGAAGAGAAGAAATTGAAAATACGCTGCTGACTCTATTCCAAAAATATGGGATAAAAAAAGAATTCCAAAAGACTGGGAATATAATATAAATATCCCGATACACAAAAAAGGCAACCAGAGTGAGTGTGACAACTATTGGCCAATATATCTCTCACCAGTTGTCTATAAACTGTACACCAGAGCCCTCGAAAGAAGGCTACAAACAATAGTATAAGACAGTCTAGAACCAGAACAAGGTGCTTTCTGCCCTATAAGACAGATGATGGATCATGTGTTCTCGCTAAGAATGATAGTGGAAAAGGCTTGGGTTTGAGGGAAGAATATTAACCTCGTTTCCTTGGACCTTGATGGACCTGTAGACAGCCTTTGATAAAGTCACCCGTAAAGAGATTTGTGATGCATAACATATGAAAAAAGTCTCTCCTAATCTGATAGAGGCTATAGTCAGCCTTTCAAGAACCTAAGGGAGTGGTCCACCTCATTGGAAAGGAGTCCGGATCCTTCTCCTTTAAAAAGGGTGCTAAGCTAGGTGACAGCCTAAGTCCCCTCTCTCCTCTTCATAACATTTATAGATGAGATTCTTAAGATCTGCAAGAGAAAAATTCCACGGAGAATTGTTGGATACAGAAACCTTCTCCCTATTTTGGCACAGGTATTTATATTTGCAAATGACATAGTTCTAATAGCAGACTCTCAGGATAATCTACAAAAAGTAGTTATGGAATGGAAAGAGGAATTAATCTGTAAAGGTTTGGATATAAATGTAACAAAAAGTAAAGTAATGCATATAGGAAGAAATGAAGAAGTATTAAATATCAATTGCAATGGAATGCATGGATACATACTAATGTTTGGGTACACTTGTAAGCAGAGATATTTGGATTGATCCAGAAATTTTAAACAGTAAGGAAAGCCAACGGGGTCTTTTACAAAATCTGTAATACTTTAATCAGCTAGAAGGAAATTAATAGAAATATTAAACTGGTAGTATATAAAACAATATTCCTGCCGGTATTATTATATGGAGCAGAACACTGGATAATTTTGGAAATGCATATGTCAAGAATAACTGCCACGGAAATGATGTTCCTCAGAAGAATTGTAGGAAAGACAAAGATATACTGTATATGTAATGAAGTTGTTACGGACGAATTAAGTATAGTCTCAGTGAAAGCAATAGTAGAGGAACGACAAGTCAAGTGGTTGGGATATATGTGGAGAATGGCAGATTCTTGCAAGAC